TTTTTTTTTGAGTCAGAACCTCACTCTGTCGCCCATGTTGGAGTGCAGTGACATGTTCACGGCCACTGCAGCCTCGACCTGCTGTGCTCAGACAATCCTTTTGCCTCAGTCTTCCAAGTAGCTGGAGCTACAGCCGTGCACCATCACACCTGGCTAATTTTTTACTTTATTGTAGAGACGAGGTCTCGCCAAGTTGCCCAGACTAGTCTCAAAACCCTGGGCTCAGGCAGTCTTCTCGCCTCAGTCTCCCAAAGTGCTGGGATCACAGGCTTGAGCCACTGCGCCCGGCCTCACCAATCCCTATTATTTAGAATGTTTATAATTTGATACTTCAATAGTAATCAAGTGGTATCTGAATCTTTCATTAAACCTATGAGGCTAGGAATTAGTATTTCAATCTTACAGAAGGGAAACCACAAGTTTGTGGAGCTAGGAAGTGGTAGACCCAAGTGTAGAACTTAATACTTCTAAATGTTGGTCTGTGTTTCTTTTCTTTGCACCAGTGGTTCTCAACCAAGCTGCCAGGACCCAAAGCCTTTTCCCAAAGATTCTGATTAAATTGATGTGAGGTGTAGCCCCCATGTGGGTTTAACTTCTCAGGTATCTCTAATGTGCAGCCAGGTTTGAGAAATACTGCACTGTCCCATTCTCCCTAACAATCTGGCAAATGCCAAGTTCCCTCACTTCTCTAACCTGTCTCCCCACTTGTAAGGTAAATGAATTTAAATTCTTCCAACATTTTGTGAATGTTAACTTGGTATAATTTATACTGAAGGGACCTTAAAATTTGTGCCTAAATTTTATACAGAAAATAACGTCTCAGTGATGTAGAAAGAAATTATTCGAGCCATTGTTGTTCAAAAACATCTTTGGGTTGTTATAAAAATAGAAGAAGGTAAAAAAAACAAAACAACAAAAAAACAAAAACAAGCCTTTGGAACAGTCCCAAGTGTATTCTTTCCCTTCTCTTGAATGTTTTCTCTTCTGGAATTTTCACGAGAAGCAGAGCAGTACTATGGTTGGGAGAATGTAGACTTGGGAGTCAGAATGCTGTGATTCATATCTGGGCTTTAGGACATGGGCAGATTCTACACTTCTCTGGGCCTCTGTTCCCTAATCTGTAAATAATGAGGAAGATAATACCACTGACCTTGTATTGGCTATGCCCCAGCTCCCTATTGGGCATATTACGAAGAACTGGGTACTTGATGGCACTGATAGAATATCTTTGTGGCTTCATGTCCTTGGGGCATCATAGGTGACTCTGCATCTTCATGGTTTTCTAATGTATGGTTGGTTTTGGAGGTTTCTTGCCAGGGTTGATTCTAACCACACCATATTGGGGTGAGAGACCTGGGGTGGTGGGTGGTGGCACCCTAGGAATCACTTTTAGTTACCTGCAAGTACCTCCTCACTTTTACTTAAAAACATGGTTGCCCTATTGGGCAGAATATTTTGTAAATTAGTAACCAGGAAAGTGAGGAAGATTTTTAAGTAATCAATGCAGGAAATCTACTGTATCTTGAAATTTTCACCGAGAGCCTTTGACACCAGGCATTTCACGAGTTATAATGCTTTAAACTGCTTTCCCTAAACCATGGTGAGCGTGGGATAAGTTAGGTCAAATGGCTAAAAGTGGAGTGTCAGGATTGTGGGCAAACTAGGAATATTTGCAAATTAGTCCATTTTCAGGTTAAAGAATGAGATCATCGAAAACTTGCCATGCTTTTCAGATCATATCACAACTGCATTTGAGGATGTGCTATTTATTCTCTTTCAACCACCATGTTTCCATGATTCTAAGACGTACATTTTTTACATTTTAACATCTCTGAAATCAGATGCATCTTCAAATCCATGGCAGTTTACAACTGCTTTTGACCCAGCAGGTTCGTGTGACATTGGGGTTGCTGCCCGGATATTAGACTTGGGCGCAGAGATGTCTGTTCTGCTGGGAGTTAGACACATGGCTACTACTTCTTGTGTTAAATTTAATTACAGTTCAAAAGCACTTCAGAAAATTGACCTGTTGTTCAATATTCAAAAGAAGGCTTTTTGCATAAGAGTGGAAACAAAATGGAATGTAGAATTAAAATTCAAATTGATTAGAGGATATTGTATCACAGTTTAATAAGAAGCATTTTTTTTCTTTGTGTTACTTAAAATGGTGCTGCATCATACATCCTATGTCTTGGAGTCAATGAAATATGGTATAAATGATTATATAGTCTCTGCTCTAGGTAATTCTAAGAAGAACAATTTCTTGCTTGTGTTATTATTGACTTCTAATTTATTCTTTTTCTAATCTTTTTTTTCCTCCTGTACAAAATGGATACCAATCACATTTACCGTTGGACTGCAATATCTCTCCTTGAAAAACAATGCTGTTGACTGAAATCACTTTGGGTGGACCAAATTTCCTCCTGTTGACTACTCCTGAATGATCTCTTCCAATCCCCAATCTGCCTCTCTGGCCAATCACAACCTTCTTCCGTGTGTGTACATCACGCTGCTCTCGTCCTCAACTCTCCCTCTCTCTTGCTGACTTCCCGGAAAAGCAACGGAAGAGTCCTGGGCCGAAGGAGGCTTCTGTATGCTTGTGAAAAAGAACAATCTGTGCCAACGGAAGGTTCTTCAACAACTTTGCTGCAAAACATGTACATTCCAAGGCTGAGCAGCCACCTTAGATTTCCTTGTTCCTGTAGAGTTATAGATTATTCCATATTATTAAAAAGAAAAAAAAAACAAGCCAAAAAAAAGCAAGCCACCTCTCTCTTTCTTGCTCTCTTCTCTCTCTCTCTCTCTCTCTCTCTCTCTCTCTCTTTCTCTCTCTCTCTCTCTCTCCCCCCCCTCTCTCGCTCGCTCTCACTCTGTCTTTCTCTCTTTCTCTCAAGTTTGTGCAGGGAGATGGTGAACTGTTTTGTCAGAACTTAAATGAAAGAAAAAAATAAACCTACAACAAGCCTACCTTTTATAACTGGGTGTTTAGTGCTAAACAGCCAGAACCACAGAGACAGTATTGTATGACCAAAGCATTTGATGCCAAAATTTGACGTTAAAGTAATGATTTGATTTCCTGCCCTGGTTTTGAAGGTCCATTTTTTTCCCTTTTGCATTTATGTGCTTGTTTCCCCTTTCAGGCGCCTAAAAATACCTTTCCAAAATATCACAAGAGCATACATAGACCAAAATGAAACAGAAAGCTCTTGCATCGATCATTTTTCGTGCTTGAGTCTACCATTGGGGGGAAATGACCGAAAACTGGACCTGAGGGCATTGAGAACATCCTACCGAGTTGTGTTCAGTGTCATCTGTCTTCGTATTTCACAGCTAAACAGTGATACTTTTCCACACATAATTTGCTTCCTGCGTTATGTACTGGTTTTTGCATTTGACTCATTTGATAAGTCTGCTCCACTGGCTTCATCAGATAGACTTGCTGCTACTGGCTTTTCCATTGTAGATTGGGTTATTTTACACACAGCTCACCACATGGGATTGCACTGTGTAGTCAAATTGGTGATGGACAGATGGACAGAATGCAGAGGTGCATGAAAGAGCCGAGACTGATCCAGCTTCCCTGAAATTCAGAGCGTTAACTTTGTAGCCCCTGCACAATCTCTTGGTGCTATCTAGCCATTATCCCCATTTGTTGAAAGGCCATCAGAAATTCTGTTTGTCATCATGGGAAGCGTTTTGGAGATGATGCAGGAAATTTCTTCCTGGAGTCAAAAAGTTTCTAAGAGGTCCTGTATTTTTTCAGAAATGGAATTTATTTAAATAATATTTAAGCTCATGCCCATGTTGGCCAGGCAACTTTTTTCAATGGTGCTTATTAGAAGTTTTTTTCATCTTGTCATTTTAAGAAAATAAAACTGGAAATTGATTATGGGTGGCATGATTGTACCCTTTTCTCTTCCTTTCCTACTCCTCTGTCCATCTATAACTATGCTATACTGGCACATAGCTGTCCACTGAATGTCGTTGAGATCGTCTATTTTTTTTTTTTTTTTTTTTGAAATATTTTCACTGGTTTTCTATGACTCCCTAAAGATTTCATGGAAACCAGCAGGCCGAATTATGAGAAAACTATGGTCAGTGGTCAGAAACAATGAAATCTTTAGATCTTTTTACACTTCCTCTGTTTAGAGCAGGGTAGAATGATATCAAGTTTCTTCGTTTTTCATATCAAAGCTCCATTGGTGACCTCGTTTGCTTTGGGAGTGACCGGCCATCTTGCAGGCTTTTTGCTTCTGAGAGCCTCACTTCCAAGGTGCTGCTGGCTTCACAGCTGGGAAGAATGGTGTCAAAATAGACTATCCTGGAAAAGAGCTGGGAAGTGGATGCTAAGGTTCCCCATCTAAGCAGCAAGCTAATAAAAAGCCTGCCTTGAAAATATTCCTAGACATCAAAGTTAACTTACAACCCCAGGTGAATAATAAGTAAATAGCCTAATGATCCTCTTAATAGCATTGTAATTTTACTGAGTCACATAATGATTTGTAAGTAACCAGGGAACCAACTTGCTGAGCAATTTTCCCTTTTGTAACACTGCAGGCACTTCTGGCATGAAAAACGAAAGTTAATCTTGGGTACAGCATATAGTTTTACCTTTAAAAGCACAGTCTTAAGTGGACAAATGCAAGCACAAGCCTAAAGCAAGGGCAAGCAGATGGCAAAACCAGATTTGCCTACAAAGGAATCTACTTAGCTGAACCAGCCCGTAATATTTGAGGCACAAGGTTACTATAATAGGAAAGATAAAAATGGTGTCTGTTTTCTTAGACAAATAACCGTCAACATAACAGCCGAATCCACTGGGGCCCACCAGCGTGTGTGTTCCATTTCCCACTGACCATGCAGGTACATATCGCGGAAATACTGGTTTAACTACTAGTGTGTTACTGCCTCATTTATCTACATAACATTATTAACTAGAACATAATGCTTTCAAAGTTTAAGTTAATGTTATATATTATGTATAAATATATATATTCATAATGAGATATATGTAACAGATAGTACAAAGTTTGGAGACTTAACAAATGCTCTAACCTTCTAGAGACAAAAGTCCTATCTTCTGTTCTCTTTTGTCTTCTTATTTTTAAAATAGTGACCCGTTGTTAAATCCAAATCCACTTTTACTGAAAAATACTGTACATGTGTAAAATGTTCAGTTGTTTTTTTGTAAAATATAGTAGAACGGTTGTAATTGATACTGGCCAAAATCAATGTTATTCCATATTTTATTTTTTCTATTAAATTAACCTAAGTTCCTGTTTATTCGATCTGTTCATGCCCATGTGTAAACATCTCTGGAAGGGCAGGGTCATGAGAAACTTGTCTATTCCAACATAGACGCTGAATATGAAGGAGAGAGTGGTGGAGATGAATAAAATTAGAAAAAAAAGGGTGAGTAGAGGTGGGAATTGAGAAGGAGAGAGAGAGAAACAGCAATGTAAGAAAGGAACAGGTAAGATTTGGTCATGAATATATATTAAATGCCATTTTTAGAAAGCAGACTGTGAAAAAAATCTACAAAAGCTTGGTCTCGTATCAATCAGACTCTACAGATGCTGGACCCCAGGGTAGGGTCCATGTGGACCTGATCTTCCTCCAGAGAACTGCATACCCACCAGCGTGTGTGTGTGTGTGTGTGTGTGTGTGTGTGTGTGTGTGTGTGTGTGTGTGTGTGTGTGTGTGTAGGGGCAGGGCCATGGGCTGGGGGCAAGGAGGTGGCCAGGTTAAAAGCTGTCAAAGGAAAAGATGACTTTGTTCAATTTGCTGACACGTAAAGTCACAGTAGCTGTATCCCTGGATGCCGAGGTGATGATTTTATCTAAAATCTCAAGTACCTGCCAAGGAGTGGGATTGAACAGTTAGCTAAAAACCACAGAGGAGTGTAGATCTTTGTGAAACCTGCTTGAGAAACAATCACTAGTCTTGAAGTTTCAGTGCCCTGCCTTTTACAAAAAGAAACAAGAAATCCTCCAAAGCAGCAAATAAATTGAGCTCCAAGTAGGTTTAAAGATCGGGGATACAAAAAGATATAAGAGAGAACGTCTGTTGCCATGAAGTCCCATTATGGAGATGGAGAGAAATTAATTTTATTGTCTGCTTACTAGATGCTACACACACAATAAGAAACTACACAGTGCGTATATACATACTGTGCATATATCCTCTCTTAATTCTCAGAAAAACTCCAGAGGTAAAGGTATCGTTCTCTTTACAAGTAAGAAAGCTGAGCCACATAGACTTGAAATTAATTGATTGGGATGGCAGACCCAGACTCATAGTAAAATTAAGCCGTAGGACAATTAAAAGTAGTGAATTCTTAATTTCAAGCGAGCGGAACGCAAGGTTGTTAAGTTCAGAACAGGCAGAGAATCCTTTGAATTGCATGGATCTGGGCAAGTTTCCTGGAGCAAGTAGAACTAGAATTGGTCCTTGATGCGTGGCTGAAACTCACCTGGGCCAACAGGAAGAGCGCAGGAAGAATGGAACTGCTGAACTTGCACATGAGCTAGATGTTCAGGGAAGCAAGATATGGTTTTAATCTAATTAGTCCATGTCTACAAAGGACAGTAATTCAGCATTCAGTAGATTCGACAAGAAAAATCTACATTTTTACACTTCCCCCTTAACTCCCACATCCATGGAAGGCTTTGCTAATCATCTATAGCCATCTGCAGATGAGCATTTTCTCACTCATTTTCCATCCCAGTATCAGAGGCTTAGCATCACACTGCTGATTTCTTCTATCGGATTCATTGTTAGAAAATAATGAATCCAGCTAGTCTCAGTGGCTCAGCCAGTAATCCCAGCACTTTGAGAGGCCAAGGCGAGTGGATTGCCTGAGCCCACGGGTTTGAGACCAGCCCAGGCAACTTGGTGAGACCTCATCTCTACAATAAATCAAGAATTAGCGGGGCGTGGTAGCACACACCTGTAGTTCTGGCTATTTGGAAGGCTGAGGTGGAAGGATCACCGGCGCCCAGCAGGTCAACGCTGGGGTTGCCGTGAGTATGCCACTGCACTCTGGCCTGGGTGGCAGAGTGAGACTCCAACTTTAAAAAAAAAAAAAGTTGAGTTAGGAGCCAAACGCAGTGGCTAACCCTGTGGTCCCAGCACTTTGGGAGGTTGAGGCAGGAGGATTGCTTGAGCCCAGTAGGTCAAAGCTGCGGTGAGGATTGCTTGAGCCCAGTAGGTCAAAGCTGCCAAGCGATCATGGCACTGCACTTCAGGCTGGGCAACAGAGTGAGACCCCGACTCAAAAAATAAAATGAAGGTGACTGTTGTTGAAACGACTAAATTGAAGTTTCTCAATCCAAGTGATCAACACTTTTGGCACATCTGAGTATGGAAATACATAGCATCATATTCACATAGATTACTATGCAGTTAAAATATGTAAGCATGCATTCTTAACAGTGTCCATATTCTCATTTAAGCCTTACACAAAGGAACGATGGCAGACATCAGCAAAATTAATAGAAATTGCACATTGGAAGCACTCACATTGGCCTGGCCAGTTCAATACTCCACCTTCCAGCCTCTAGCACAAAAATGGCAGGCGGGGATCAAAGGCCAGCCACAGCCTAACCTCGCCTGGCCCAGCCTGGGCCCTGGGCCCTGGGCCCTAAGCCCAGTATGTATAAATGACAGAAGGCACAGACCTGCTTCTCTTCTCTAGTCAGCATCCATTTCCAAATGTTATTTTTATTGCAAACCCATAAAATCTGAAGTTTGTGGCAGAATACTTTAGAGCCTTTGACATATTTAGCAGGACATAGCCAAGGCGGACTTAATTTCACCGTGGCTCGTGGAACTACCTGGAACCTTAAAGTGGGGCTGTAATCCGTACAATCAGGTCTTCTCATCATCCCAAGAGGAGATGATCAGGCCCAGATTCAGTTCTTGAACAAGACAGATGCAACAAAAGCAACATCACTAAGTCCCAGTGGATCAGAATGTGACCTGGGACCACCAGGAGTTCCTTCCCATCGTCTGCCTCCAAGGGATTTATAAGAACTGTTTTAGTGATCGCGGAAGGATTTTCTTACAAGGTCTCCTCTCTGAGAAACCATTGTTTGTATGCCATTGTGGGTTTTTTAGGGTCAGGTGTCAGGTAACAAAAGTTATTTTGCATCCCACTTTCTAGAAAATTCTAGAAACATTCCCTGAGTTGTAAAATCTTCAACTATTTTTTCATTTTAGGAGAGAATGTATTATTTTAAGAGTACAGTATTTTAAAGTTCATAAATGGCTTTATTTAATTTGGCCCCCACAAAAATCAGGTCTATGGAGATTAATTTTCTGATGCAAGAGTCACAGCAAGGGGTGTGGCTGGGACTCAAGCCCACAGTTTCAACCTTCCACACAACACTGCCTCCTTTTTAAGACTGCCAGAAATAAACAAGTCCACATTACATATGTTTCAAGGCGGCAGGGCAGCGGGTAAGAAAGAAAGCACACTGTATCCCTGGGCTTGGCTTTTTCCTCCTAGGAGCTCAAATTAATTGCTTCCATAAACAAACATTAGTGAGTCCCTGCCACACACCAAGTTCTGAGGTTTTTCTTGCCCGCTTCAAGCTTATTGTCTAATGTGTGAAACACATTAAAACACATGGTTATAATATAAAGCTGTCCAAGTGACTTAAGGGGCAGAAAACATGTCTGGGAGCCCCGAGGTGCAGGTTCACTTCCCCAAGTACGTACTAAGGTCCTATGCATTCCCAGGGCATCCAAAAATAGCCTGAAACCTTAAAAATAGACTTGGCTCTAGGCCAGGGGCAGTGGCTCAGGCCTATAATCCCAGCACTTTGGGAGGCTGAAGCAGGAGAATCACTTGAGCCCAGGAATTTGAGACCCGATTGGGAAACAGCAAGATCTCATCCCTGCAAAAAAAATTGTCTGGGCACCTGCTACTAGGGAGGCTGAAGCAGGAG